CTTATTAATTTGTCTTATTATTTAGTTAAATTAATAGGCTTAGTTTGAATAAATATCTTTCAATGTAGAATAAAATTAATTCAGTTACAATTATAATATCATTTCAAATTATTACATACTCATTGTTTCTTAAGCACACAAGGTAACTCTTTTAACTTTTCAAATGTAGACACATGCTTAATTTATTAAAAACAATATAACAAAATGCAAAACTTAGTTCAAAAATATACAAATCATATATATGTGCCTTACACAATGATTATTGTCTTTTAATTTAATACATTTGGTATGAATATAAAGTATATAGAATCATCGTCCTTGTCATACGGTTATACCCCTTCTATTCTTATGATGTTTGTGCGTTTTCCTTTATACATATTTTATTCTCAATATATATACATAATCGTTTTCAACCTTTTTTTTTTTTTTCTTTTTTTTCATTGTCCTGTATAATAAGAGATCAAAATATTTTAAAGAAAAATGTTAGTAACAATCAAAATACACTATAAACAAAACAGGATAATTAAAAAACATTTATAAAAACAAATTTAAACACATTGGCAGAAAATAAACATAGTTTAATATAATAATGAACAAGTATTAAAATATATATGAACATCTTTTGACATTAAAAAGAACATATACCAAAAGTCAAATGAAAATCTTCAACACGAGAATGAATAAATATAAAATTTTATTGAGCAATTTTTAATATAATAACAAACAAGTATTAAAAATTGAAACAAATTTCTTTCAAAATAAGAATGCACAAGTATAAAACTAAATGAATAATGTTTAGATATAAACATAAATATTTTATAGAATGCAAATGAACATCTTTCAATATGAGAATGGACATGAAATGCAAAGAGAATGAACATGTATCAAATTTAAATGAACATATATTAATATGAAAATAAATGATCATAAATCAACATAAATTAAAATGATATTTTTTTTCCACCTAAAACAAACTTTTACGACAGATTAAAATTTACTAGCCAAAATTTGTCAAATAACAGTTTTAGTGACAAAATAAGTAATATGAAATGATAATTGATGGTTCAATTTCAAAAATCTAATTGATAATTTGTCTTTAATTTTAGTCACTATAATTTGAATTTTTTTTAACAATTATAATTTGAATATTAGTCCTACAAATGAACATAAAGACCATCTAAAATGAACATATACGATATATTAAATGTACTAGTCAAAATTCAGCGAATAATAATTTTGATTAAATTATGTTATAATTATGGAAAATTCTTACAACGTAATTTAATTATTATTATAAAAATCACTTCCATTAAAAACTATGAGAAATTACAAAGTCTAATTGAAATTTCTTATTAGATTTATGAAGAATTCTAATGATTATTTATTAACATGTGAATGACCATATACTAATATATAAATTAAAAATTACCAAAATGAAAATGAACATTCATATAAAAAAAATTCCGCTACGAACTAAATTTACATTTCTATAATCCTAAGAAATAGATCAAATTGTCCATTATATTAGGGTAATTGAACTCTGTTTTTAATTATTTTGTCCAGAAATTTCAATTTATATGCTAATAACACACTCTAGAAGTTAAATCAACTTAAAATAAGGTATACCAAACATCATTCTACAATAATCATAAGAATTCATTATTGTGATAAAAATCATGAACTGCTACTACTAAAATTTCATATTATTGAAAAATAAGGTTAATAAAAAGTTAGGTTTTGACCTTTTTTTCGAAAAATAAACAAATTATCAACTTACAATTTGATTATTGGTCGTTCTTTTGTAGAAATTTCCTTCGATTTCTTGATTTCGTCTCTTACATTTAATGTTTTAGTAGATATCTAAGAGCATTTTGATTTATTTTTCAAGAAAAATTTGAAAATACTTTGGTAGTTTAGGAGAGAGAAAATGGAAAGAGAAAGTGGTAAAATTATTAGGAGAGAGAAATTTTAAATGTTGGTAAAATTACAAAGGAATCTCATTTTTAAGAGGAGAGAGAAAATATGGGAACTGACTTTTATTGTTAAAGACTTTTGTATAGTATACACGTAGGAGGGGTGTAGGTATTAATAACCCTCTCTCATCGATTTTATAATTAGATTGGTTTTTTTTTTTTTTTTTTTTTTTTTTTTTTTTTGTTGTAAACTTATTAGAATGAGTAATAATTAGGAAAAATTGTCAAAAATACTATAAACTTTGAGCGATCCGCTAAAAACAAGTCAAACTTTTAATTATTTCTAAATAATAAAAACTTTGGGGGTGTCTACTTTAAAGTTTAAACAAGTAATTTTACCTGCAACCTAAATGACCGGTTAATTTTTTTTTTCTTTTTAATAAATTTGTTTAACAATGTAATTAACTCTTAATAACAACTTTAATTAACAATTATAATTTTGTTTAAAAAATTTCTTCAAAATAAAATAGGAAAAATTGTCAAAAATAATACAAATTTTGAGCGGTCCGCCAAAAACAAGTCAATATTTTGATTATTTATAAATAATACAAACTTTGGGGAGTATTCTCTTTAAACAAGTTATGACCTGTTAATAACCTAATTAATAGGTTATGTGGGACACGTGTTATTATCTTAGTGTTTTAACCATTTAATTTTTTTTTTTTTAATTTTTAAAGATTATTATTATTATTATTATTTTTTTTTTTAAAAAAAACTCCACCTGTTTCGGGGTTTTCAGTGTCCCTCGGGAGAGTTACAACACCAAGGTTGGATTCCGAGCACCTGTACCTGCAAAACAACAGAGACTCCGGTTGGGTGGAGTTCCGCCTCTGACGATCAAGTTAAAACGTTTACGGATGATGTAAAAAGTGCAGAAAGTAAAGTATCTTCTCGGATTCCGAGATCAGGAGTAAATATCTGCAATTAATGATTGCTCTACTTTTGTTAATATTTCTGAATGTTTTCCCATGGGGGAACATCTCCCTATTTATAGGGTCTCATGATGCGTGCCGCCATCCTAGGTTACGGAAACCTAGGAATGGTGGGCTTTCTCGGGAATTGGACTAGGAAGGCCGCCTTTTTCCCGATGACAGGGTGTGCCACGTGTTAAGAGAGGATTGGTTCTTTTGAACCTCTCGTAAGGTGACACGTGTCACCATGTGATTGGTCCACGTGGCCCTGGAGGGTATTTTTACCAAAAACATTTGCCCCTTACAGGTGTGACGTGGCGTGCCACGTGGCATCTATGACACTTGTCACTTGGTCATTGTTGAATAGTTTTAACCGTTTGTCTTCCAGGCAAATTAGAGGGATGCCCCTTGAATTACCCTTCCTTAAATAATCTTTTACCCTTCCCATTTTTGGACATCTCCAAGAAATTAGAGAGAGAGTCCCGTTTTTTAGAGAGATAAACTCTGAAAACCGCCTGTATATTCATCAAGCAATTGCCTTCTTTTTCCTTTAGATACAACCATCCACCGTCTGTTCATTTCACAAATGGGGGACCATCTGAACCGTCTGAGTATCTTTCAAACAATTCTCACTTTCCAAGGGGTTACAGACTGTATAACGTCTGTGCTTTTAGCAGACAGGAGAACTTCTGAGAACCACCTGGATACTCTTCAAGCAATTCTCTTTTTCAAGGGGGTACATCCGGTTAACCGCCTGTGCGTCGTGCAAGCAATTTCTTGATTTCTTCCTGCTAGCTACAGCTGGTCAAGGCTTGACTGTATGTCAGCTCTTCTTAGAGGTAACGTCTCTCCCCTTCTCAGCTCTTTCATATTTTTCCGTTTGCGTACATTTTGTTCCATAAATGAACTCACCAACAGCACACACGACACAACCTAGTTTAGCAGGCAGGCGGTCCCCTGGTACGGCTGAGTCTAGGACTGGGGGTGCCGTCTCTAGGTGCTTGGATCACTCTTGTTCATCTCCCAATCCGACTGTCTCTGTGTCAGTGTAGGACACAATGGCTCGGACTAGATGGACGACTGTAGATCTGAAGTATAGGGAAGAGAGCGCAGACAGTGCACCGCCCGAGATAGAACAACCTGAGGAGACAAGAGGATCTCCTTCAGGTGCACCCAGGACTCCCAGTGACGAGATCCTTGGGTTAGAGGGCGGAGATGGTGAAGAAGCCGCCTCTATGCCTGGCTCCGAGGAGGCGGATGAAGCTCTTCTTGAAAGAGACGGGGGTGAGACCGCCTCTAGGTTTAGGTCTGAAGAGAGCAGCAGCTCACTATCATCGGTTGAGGATAGTGAGGAGAAGGAAAGATTAAAACGGAATAGTGAGGGGGATCCCTTTCGGATCCATGTCTCTGCCAGAGACAGGGCGAACATAGAGAAGCACCTAGACGCCTTCAAATCCAAGCGTCCTCTTGGCGAAGGATATACCATCTGGGTTCCGCCTGAATTAGGGACCATTGCCTGGGAAGATGACCAGCCAAATGCCAACCTTTATTTTTGCTGCTATGAGGCGGCCTTCCTAGCCGGTCTCCGCTTCCCCCTCCATGACGCAATCAAGGCTATCCTGCGAGGAGCCTTGGCGTGTGGCAGTTAACCCAAATTCTTGGGTTAACATTCTGGGCTACATCGCCGCCTGCGAGATACAAGGTCTCCATCCCGGCTGGGAGGCCTTTGCCCATATGCATTATCTGAGCCGTAGCCCAGGCACCTGGAGGGCGTGGAACACATTAAGCACCTACCCCAAGTATTTGATGACCTTAGACAAACCGTCTAAGTGGTTTGACTGGAAGAACCAGTTCTATCTGGTTTCTGTCGTCCAAATGGCAAGAGAACTTTGAATAACACTGTTATAATAAGAAGCCGGATCTGTTGGGGCAGAAGTGTAAACTTCCAAAAGTCCCGGATGAGGACTATGAAAAAATAATAGAAGCTGGGTTTTTTGAACTCGCAACCACCACTCTCTCATCCGGGGAGTTGATAAGTGTACCCAAAAATTGGGTACCCAAACACGAGTTTTTGAAGGACAAGGGGTTCTTGTCCGCCTGTGCTTTAAGCAGCATGTTTGACAGACGTATGTATAGCATGCATCCGGCAATTTTATGCCGTCTTTAGTGCTTATAACTTGTGATTTATTTTTGCCTGCTTGATGGTTTAATAGGTGGTTCTTTTTTGCAGAAAATGCCAGAAGGATGCTCTTAGAAAACAAAACATTTGCTTGTTCTACAGCAAACATCCGCATGGAAAATGCGGAAAAGAAGAAAGCCGTACTGGCGGCTAAAGGCCAGGTATAAACCGCCTACCCCAGCTTCTTCCCCATTTGCCTTATCAATGTATATAGGTGGTTATGAGTCGGCTGTGTAATTAATGCCTGGTTTTGACTGTGTGTTTGACATTTAGTTCGTTTTTCAGGATGGAAGAAAGGGAGCTCCTAGATCCCTTTCCAAGTTGATCAGACAAAGGCCGGGTGACGAGGTCACCAGTTCCAACAAATCTAGAAAATCTTCTGCTCAAACGGCTTCCAGGCTTCCGCTTGTCAAAAGCCGTCTGACCGTTGGGGGAAAAAGTATCAGAAATGTCAGTCTGGGAATTGACCTTTCTTTCCAGCTGGGTGCCTCTGAGGTACCGAAGGGTGGCCAGCCACCCAAAGCTGCAAGTGGTTCTGCAGTGACTGTAGGGGATTCAAACCCTCAGCCTTATCCCCAAGGTAATGTTGACCCCTTCAACTCTCCCTTTGAGTTGGGTTGGCCCATGCGGGTCAAGTCACATTCCCAACTTCAATCAGAAGGATCTTCGGGCAGTCGACGATTTGTTGGTGGCGCATATGTAGCTTTCTCACCATATCTAACTTCTGGTGCAGATTAATCCCCTCAGTGGCCGGATGTACAACAGTACTCCAAGGCCATGCTGAAGGCTGTCCCAAAGGAGGATAAGGAGGCCATCCCCGGGATTCATACATTCAATGTTGATCGCATCCTTGCTATGCTATCTGAGGTACAATAGTTTTATTTTCTTTCTTTCAAGTGTATTGTCGGCTGCTTTTTTTAACACCGTTTGCATTTATACAGACGATGTTGCGAATAGAGGGGCTAAAAAGGCCGTATGCCCGGAAGCAGGAAGAGGTAAGGCGGACCAAGAGAGATGCGTCTGATACCACTGACATTGCTCAGTATCAAATGCTAATTCACGATCTTGAAACTAAAGCTCAGTACCGCAGGCGGACTCCATAAAAAAGCTCTAAGTTGCCCTCAATGAGGCTAATCTGAAGGCCTCAAATCTAGAGGCGGAGCGCGACAATGCTAAGCTGGAGCTAAAAAATGCTCAGGCGGGTCTCAAGTTCTTGGAGGAGACCAGGAAGGAGAACTCCATTCTAAAAGTAGATGTCAACCGTCTGTAGAAGGAAATGACAGCCATCAGGGAAAACTTCAAGGCCACAATGGAGTCTAAGCAAAGCCGGCTCATTGAGGAGAATGAGCAAGATGATAATGGCCTGGTCGCTTGTGTATCCTGAGGCGGATTATAACGTTTGGGAGCTGGTCTACAGATACGCAGATCTTGCCATCCTTGCTAAGGATGAGGGTCAGCCGGAGCATGAGCCCTTCCAAGAGTGGGTCCAGAAGGAGCTTGCAGAGGAGGATGAGGAGGCTGCTGATGGTGATGATGACGTAGAGGAGGAAAAGGAAGGAGAGCACCAAGCCCAAGTGAAATCTGCCCAACTCCGCTTGCTAAGGATACTCCTCCGGCGCCGACTCAGTAGTTTCAGCTTATGGTTGCTGCCTATACTTTCGGCATGTGTGCCGTGTATTTCTTTGTATTTCCACAACACTTATTTCTCCGAATGTAGATCCGGTTAACAGTTTCTCTCCCACCCTTTTGGTCGATTTTTTATAAAATGATTTTTCGACTCTGTTGGTTTTGCCAATCTTTACAACTTGCATTATTTCAATTTTTATAATTCTTCAATATGCATGTATTTTGCTAAGTAACCTAATACACGCGGTTTACCGGATGCACCAGGTTTACTTGCATTATTTCAATTTTTATAATTCTTCAATATGCGATGCTTGCGGGCTGCGCTAGCCTATTCCTAACACGATGCGATGGCTAGCGCTGTTACGCTAGCACGCCTAGCCATGCATGCACAGCCACACCACACGCATGCACGCATCTTGCGATGCTTGTGCCATGCGACGTGCGTGTGCTAGGGGTTTTTAGGCACGCATTGCTTTGGACCTTGCCTAGCTTCACATGGCTAGGCCAATGCGAGGCTACGGTTAGGCTCGAACTTGTTACTTGATTGATTTCACGTCTCGTCGAATTCTAAATTCGACTCGACTTGCGACTCGATCGTGACGCTCTAAGCTCGATATATCCAACGTCTTAGTTCGTAAAACTTAAACGACTGAACATGGTTGCTAGGGTAAGGGGGCTTCAAAAGGATTGATTCGTTGTCTCAGATCGGTTGTTCGATTGGGTTCGTCCCGAAGGGTTCACTCAAGATTAAGCTGTAATGTTAATTGTACATTAATATTACTGTTCGGAAGCGGCCTCCACATAGGCATTCCGATCACTTGACCTTACTGAATAATTAGATTTCTAATATTTCTGAACCCTCTACTGGGATAATACACTTGTTGGAAGGACACCGTTCCTTCCAGATTCCTCAGCCAGTTAGGTGACAAGTGCCTCTATTTCTTCCAAGCTATCAAAAAGAAGACTAGATATGAGTGGGGGGGAGGATGCCGAGGCGGCCTTTCAGAAGTTGAAAGAACACTTACACTCATTGCCAAGGCTTGTCAGCCTTTTGCCACAGGAGGTGCTTTACATGTATTTGGCCGTTTCAGACCATGCTCTTAGTGCAGTTCTCCTGGATGAGAGAGACGGCATACAACTCTCGGTCTATTTCATTAGCCATGTTCTTTGAAATGTTGAACTACGGTACCCCATGGTTGAAAAATTTGGTCTTACACTCTACATGGCAGTCAAGAAGTTGAAACCTTACTTCTTGGCACATCCGGCTGTAATCTACACAGATCAACCCCTTAAGCGGCCAATGATAACTTTGGAGTCATCCGCTAGGATGCTCAAAATGGGCTATTGAAATGCAAAGTCTTGAAATCACTTTTGAACCAAGGAAGGCAGTGAAGGGTTAGGCGTTTGCCGACTTCATTGTCGAAATGACAAGACCGACTGAGCCGAGGAATCTTGACCAGGTTTGGAAAGTGTTTGTAGACGGGAGCTCTACTATTAATGGATGTGGTGCAGGGGTTATATGCTAGTCTCCTGAAGGGGACAAGTATTAATATGCACTACTGTTCAAGTTTCAAGCCTCAAATAATGAGGCGAAATATGAAGCCCTACTAGCCGGTATCCGGATGTGTAAGGTGGCAGGGGCAAGAACATTTGACGCTTGCTCTGATTCACAACTGATGTTAGCCAATACCATGGTGACTATGAGGCCACCCATCCGGCTATGATCAAATACTTGTAGGCGGTCAAGGAAGAGGCCGGGACACTTGATGAATTTCATCTAAGTCAAGTGTCCAGGTCAAAAAACAATCAGGCGGATGGTCTCTCTAAGCTGGCATCATCCGCCTCCTGTTATACGCCTAGGTCAGTCTTTTAGGAAGTTATGGAAAAAGTATTGATCAAGAACCCATTGGAATTTTAGACCGAAGCTCCACCTGGATGGATGGCATCCGGGCTTATCTAGCAGATGACACTCTTCCAGATGCATACTTAGAAGCGGCTGCAATGAACAAACGTAACGCAAGATTTAAGATTCATAAGGGAGAACTCTTCAAGAAGGGTTATCTCCAGCGCTATTGAAATGTGTCACCCTAGAAAGGGGGAAAGAGGTTCTAGAGCATCTGCACTCGGGTTTTTGTGCATTACATATAGGCGGCAAGACTCTAGCAAAAAGGGCCAGGCGGCAAGGTTACTTTTGGCCCACTCTTGAGGAATATGCCATGGAAATGGTGAAGAAGTGTGACAAGTGTAAAAAATTTGGCCAACTCATACACCATCTGGCTAATGATCTGACGATAATTCATAGCCCAGTGCCATTCGCCAAATGGAGCATGGACATCCTAGTTCCATATAAGCCTGCTACAGGTGGACGGAGGTATATTCTAGTTTCCGTTGATTACTTCACCAAATGGGTAGAAGTAGAGGCGGTCAAAGGCATAAAGACAAAGGATGTCATCTCCTTCATTTGGAGGAATATTATCACTCGGTTTGGGGTAGCTATGTATATGGTCTTTGACAATGGCCCTCAATTTGAGACGCCTACCCTCAAGAGCTAGTTGGAAGGTCAAGGGATCTCACATTGCTTTGCATCAGTTGGTCATCCCCAAGCAAACGGCGAAGTTAAAGCCTTCAACAAGCTGATCTCAAACTGTATCAAGAAGAAAATTGAAAGGGCTGGCGGTCTATGGGCAGATGAGTTGCCTCATGTCCTATGGGCCATTAGAACAACTGAAAAAGCGACAACCGGTGAAACCCCGTTTCTTGTGACATACGGTGCAGAAGCTATCCTTCCTATTGAGCATTATGAGCCAACTCTTTGAGTTATGCTCTATGACAAAGAGGCTAATTGGGAGGCCATGTGGTTAGCATTGGACTCACTCCCAGAGTGCAGGGGCAATGCCGCCTTACGTCATTAGATTTACCGTCTGAGAATGACAAGAGCCTACAACAACAGAGTACACAAACGACCCTTGAAAGTGGGGGACTTTGTGTTACGGAAAATGGAGGCAACTGGTAGGGCCAATGAGAAAGAAAACTTGACTCCAAATTGGGAAGGCCCCTACCTGATCTATGAAGAAGTAAGAGGCGGTACCTACTGCCTAGAAACTCCAGACGGCAGGCAGCTAGCCAGAACTTGGAATGTAAACAACTTTTAAAAAAAACTACATCTAAGACTTCAAAATTTTTTTAAATAAGGTTTATCAATGAAAATTTGTTCTTTATTTTCAATCATATTAATTGCTTTCTGTATAAAATACCGTTTGTGCAATGTACCAATGGACTTGTTAAAATTTTTTACGTTTGCTCCAACATGAGTAGATATAAACTAAGTCTAATACTTAGCAGCTATTAATGAGACCAATGGCCAGATAACCTTAAAACCATCGCCTGCTCCAACATGAGTAGACAACCGGCGACTCCCATCCGGGTGAATTCGCCGCAGAGAGCATCTCCCATTAGGGTGGCACATTGTTCTATAAACTTAAAAACAAATGGCCCTACCGATTGTCTGGATTAAGATAACTCGCAGCCGCTTGTGTGATCAATTGAAACCCGGATAACTTTGGCTACTGCCTGTTCTATAATAACTGGTAACCGATTTCTTGGTCGGATAAAATCGATTGTTGCTCAAAAGCACTAAAAACGGTTAAAATTGAAGATCTAAGCTAAGTCGAACCTTAGCAGCTAAAACAATACTTGTTTAAAGAACCTACACACGGCCAATGGCCGCTTGCTACTAAACGATAACCCATCTACTCCATCAAGAGCAAGACATCCAGTGACTAAATTCATCATAGAAGTCAACCGATAAAGAATGATTAATCTCGAAAGGATTAAATTATAGTTGGTTGACCTGAATAGTTTAAGATGGAATCTAGGCGGCATAGCAAAAACCGCATATTTTCCCAACTTAGATTAAAATTCATGAAAATTGATTCAGATGCGGTTTATGACCGTCTGATGTTCAGTTCGGATGCTTAATGGACGGTTGTCTTCTTGGTTTGGGGCAATTACCTTTAAAACCCAACATACATCCGTCCAGGGGCAAATACACCTGATGCATCCGGTAAACCGCATGTATTAGGCAGCGTACCTGGCAAAGTATATGCATATTG